TTTAAAAAAAAAAAAAAAAAAAAAAAAGAAACTTAAATTATTCCCTTAACGAGCAAAGAAAAATTTTTCATTCTTCAATCCTTTCAGAATAAACGTTTCGCGCACCGCAATAGACGTTTTATCTGAAACAAAAATTATTATATAAAATATACATTCTAAACAAAATAAAATATAACGCCATATATATCTCTCCTATTTATAACGTAAAATAATTTTCCACAATATTTCGCAAATTTCGCAAATTTCAAAAGTTCAAACAATTTTAAAATTTCTTTCCTATAATCATCTCCAACCCCCAAGAAAAACCAAGCCTCCATAAATACCAAACCCAGGAACAGGAGGTAAACAAGTGACTATTTAACGACCAGCGCGATAATTTCAAGAACCTTCAAGAAGAAGCATCCTCGAGGATCGACGTCAGAAGATAAGGTTCGCCTTTCCACTTTCTTAAGCTCCTTCAACCGCCTATTACTTTCATACCTCGTCAAAGTGTTTTCGCGAGATGCAGCGGAAGGGTGGATCGAAATGGAAGGGTGGCTGCTTCCAGATCCTGTTGTATTGGAGGAACAAAGTCTCTGGAAAGAGAGAAAGAGAGAGAGAGAGAGAGAGAGAGAGAGAGAACTTGGAAACTCATTTAACTGATACGTTGTGTCACGGATGACAACACGGTTATATCGGTCACGAAACTCGTTTCGATTCGTGCCACGGTTTCTAATCGAGGGGAGGGGGTGTGGAGGGTGAACGTTTGTCAGTAACAGAGGTTATAGATCGCCGCGGTATGGAAAGCATTGGCGAATCGTGGGTGATTTACGATTCGAGAAATCGTCGAGAATTCGGTCGAAGCTGCTCGATGTCGACTGAGTATTTACTGGATATCGAAGGTCGACAGGGGATTCACGTTGAAAGCGTCATCAGGCATATTACTTTTTGAAAACGTCTCCCCCACGTCAATTCCCGGATCCTTCGTTATATTATAGAAATTCTTGGTAAAACGAGATTTCCTTCGGAATATCTCGCTAAATTTCCTCTCGATAATTATTGTTGCCGATCGAATTTTCATGCACAAATATTTTATACACAGTTTCCAAGTAATAATTTTTCTTTCGATTAGGACGGATCGCATTGAAATTAAACTGCATCACAAATATATTCGTTTTCCCGAACACGCGCGCTTATTTTATCGATAAAAGAGACGAGAAGTTACGTACAACTCGCATCGCAAAAATTTCCAGAAATTCAAAATGAAATAAATATCCAACGTAACGAAGACTCTAAGCCGATTTACGTAAAAATTTTTCTTTTGTTCCTTTTATTTGCAACGAACTTGCAATGAACATCAATTCTGACTGAAAGAGCAAAAAAAGAAAAAGAAAAATTCTCGTTTCACAGAAATTTGGCGCAAAGGAGCAAGGGTACATATATTCCTGTGTCGAGATTTGTTCGAAAAAGTTAATAAAAATTCTGGCTTTACCAATTGCCATGGCCAGTATGTTCAACCACATTGCGGCGGGTCATGGAACTCGCGAAACATTTGTCGGGCTTTTGCCGGCAGAGACTCGATTTTCGCAGTCGGTTACACGTTCCCTACGGTCTAAGCAGCTTTCTCGTGTGCTTTTATCGAGCAAACACCGGTTTCAACCAATATTTCATTAGGCGGAAAACTATCGAAATTACTCCGTTTTTTTTCTCGTCCCTCCTTCCCTTTCTTTCTTTCACAAACGATAAATGAAAATTACACTCGTTGTTGTACGCAATCCAAACGTGTTTCATCGATTACGTACAGCGATTGGAACACGTTTCTATTCCATTCGAAATCTTCTGTTTCTGCTACGCGATTCATTCTTCTGTTTCTACCCTGATCATCATTACACTTGTAATTTATCTCTTTCTCTCTTTGAACTTTATCTCGATGGTCACAATTTAGCCAAGTTTATCGTGAAAATGCTCTTCGATTCTTTGTTTTTCGGGAAAAGTTTTTCGGAATTGGGTTGGTACGATGAACGAGAGCCAAGGCTTAAGAGTTAAAGAAGAGGTGTTCAAGGTGTATAATTAGTTTGAAACTTGAATCTAGAGTTGAGAGGATAGAGGATGGAGGAAGAAAATTTTGGAAGTTTGCGATTGCATTAATTTCTCTCCCCCACTTTCTTCGTTTTCCCGTATCCAGATATCATTCCAGATATTATTTCACTTTTCATTCAACAATAATAATAATAATAATTTACGATTATCGGGAATCTCGAGACACGATATTACGAGAAATCATCTCGATCGCTTTAAATAAAATAAAATCTTCACTTCGGTCGCGCCTCTCCAAGAGATTTCCAGTAATTTAATTTTCGATCTCGCTCAAGGTATTACGTTCCTTCATCTTCTGTCCCAGTTGCCGCATTAAGGATAGTGGTTTTCTCTCCCTTCGTGCTCCATTTATGCTAGTTTATGAATCTTTCGAAGGGACACCGAGGGAAAGGATAATGGAGAGCCTTTTGTGTTCCAAGAAAATACATATGCGCCTCCCGATAAGATATCGTATTAGTGGAAGAGAAATATTTATCTATGCCCTGTTTAAGACAACATCCGGCTCAATCTCGGATTACTTGATCAAATCATTTGTGTATATTTTTTGTTAACGAAAACTTTTGTTTTGCTTTTATTTAATCTCTCTTCGTTCCTAAAATTTTTTTTATTCGAGATTTAATCCATAGGAGTATGTATATATATGAAGTATAAAGTTGGAAAATTTAATCGCGAATAGAATAAAATATATAGCGTATCAGAGCCATGAATTAATCTTGATTGATCATTTAGAATAATAATTAGAATTATTTGGATGTGCTATTTCTCGTGATTCGTTTTGTAGATTCATTTCACGAGAAAAGTGAAGAAACAAGCAAGACACAAAGTCTTACTACGATAGAAAGAATATACTTTAGAAGGGTATATTCTATATGTTGCTATTTTTTTCTGCATTAAAAATATTTTTTTAAAGACATGGAAAATTAAAACATCACCGAGGCTTCTTGAAACGTAATAGCTTACGATGTTTCTACGTTATTCTTTCTAGTTTCGCAATTAATTACTGGACAATGTATTTACGAGGATTTTTATTTTTTTAAAAGAAGACAGTCTTTTAAATCCGTCGAGATTTAATAAAAATTGTAATTTCACTCGGCAAATAAGGTACACGGGGAATGAGAAAGTTCAAGTTACAAACAGTTTTGTTTCTTCCTCTTCGCTACATTTCTTCTTTCTTTTATTAATTTCTTTTCTTTATTCTCTTCTTCTTCTTTCGCGTTCTTCAAACATGTGTTACTCATCGTTCGTTTGCTAGAAACTTTAGTTTGTCTTCTTATATCAATCTTCTTATAATTTTATTTATTTTGAATAAGAAATAAATTTTATTTGTTCATCCTATTTCGAAGAAGATTCCATGTAATTATTTTTCAAAAGAAATGGGACATCGTATTAATATTTCTTTATATTTAATACAACTTTTTTGTACTATTTAGAATTTGTTCATGCTCTGTAGCGGTCAATACCCAACGCTACTAGTTACAGTTTGATCATGAACGCTTCGTTATTGATCAATGTTTTTCAAGGAAAAATGAATTCACTCTGGAAATCTTCTGTCAATGGATGATCATGAACGAAAAAAACATTTAAAAAATGTTAAGGTTTCTAATGATCCTTCATTCCTCGGATGGAAAATTATTATCTTCCAAGTTAGAACGATTCAAAGTTTTCCTAAAATTCAATAGAGTTTAATCGATTTTAGAGTAAATTT